TCTCATCTGCTCCAGATGAGGTGCTGGTGATTGCTCGATGATGTGTTTTACTAAGACCTGACTCAACAGTACCAGATTCAGCTCTACACCAGCGGGACTTCTCCCTACACCAAGACTCACCCAGAAGGAGGGGCGGAGGAGTCTGTTTTTATGTGAACCAGAGGTGGGGTTAGTATACTAAATCTGTCTCGCAGTCTTGCTTACCAAACATAGAGACTCTTCTATTACTATTACCGGTGTACTTCATGTTGTAGCATGGGTCTTTTTTGGTCAGTCTGATCACAATGTGATCTTTCTCATTCCTAAATATTGTCAAAAATTGAAATCCACCAAACCATTATTCAGGACTGTGAAACCACGGTCTTCCTCAGCTGTGGCCATGTAAAATGATTGTTTGGATAATACTGACTGGACTGTTTTTAGGGAGGCATGTTGTGACCTAGGTGAACATACTTATACATTTAGCTCTTTGATTAATTTTTCTGACAATGAGTGCATTTTGTGTAAGACAGTGATTGTCATTGGTAATAACAATCTGTGATTTAGCAGGGAGTTAGGATGTTACAGTGAAAATAAAATTGGTAGATTTACAAATGATGAAACAGCATATAGACATGAGGTCAGTGCACTGGCCAAGTGTTGTAATGAGTATAATTATATAGCTCAACTCTAGTAAAGACCAAAGAGTTGGTGGTAGACGTTCGCAGAGCTGGTGGTGATCCGCCACCAGTTGTGGTTAATGGCCAGCTGGTAAACAGACTGGTTTCTTGGCATGACCATCTGTCAATCACTGAAGTGGGAAGTTAATACCAGCCTCATCATGAAGAAAGCCAATCAGAGGATATACTCCTAACGACAGTTGAGGGAGTAAAGAAGAAATGCAAGAAGAAATTACATACTTCTATAGAACTATGATTCAGAGAGTGGTCACCTTTGGGAGTACTGATCAGTTCCATCCAGTTCCAACCATTCTAGAGATAATTAGGCACCTCAATATGTTGTATGTGTAAGCTTAATATGTGTTTTTGTTGGTTTTATCTGGGCTGCACTAAAGCAAATTTCAATCAACATTGCTGGCAATGAAGTATTGGTCTGAATTGGATTGAATTTGCTTGGACAAGAACCAGAAGAAGCATTGGGCCTAGCAGACCCAACTGAAGATGCGCACTGTACAACAGTATCACCTGAATAAATGATCATAGCTGATGTGTGGTGAGCGTTCTGGCGCACTATGGCTGCCGTCGCATTATCCAGGTGGATGCTGCACATTGGTAGTGGCAGAGCTGAGTCCCATTACCTGTAAAGTGCTTTGAGTGGAGTGTCCAGAAAAGCGCTATATAAGTGTAAGCAATTATTATTATTATCATGTGGAAGGGAGAAAATATATGATGGACAGACAATAGCAGTGTCATATAGAGCCTTATATGTAATAATGATTTTAAAACCAATCCTTAATAAAACAAACTCATTGATTGGCTTTTCAGCCACGGTGACAATTTAGGAATATTTGCAGATGGAAAAATAAAATCATGTAAATCAATAAAATTTTGTAAAAACATGTTTTTCTGATCCTACAGTTTCGATGTCAATCCATTATTTAAGTCTTTAACTGATATATCCAGAATGCAATCAGAGAGTCCTGAAACACCAATTTTAGCTTCAAGTTTTGTATGGACATAGAATTTGCATTGAAATAGTAATTCTGGTTCTTGGGTGCTATACGCATGGTGTTTGTATGTTCTCCCTGCATTTTCATGGGTTTCCTGTGGGTGCTCCAGTTTCCTCCCAAAGTTCAAAGTCATACTGGTAGGTTAATTGGCTTCTGGGAAAACTGGCTCAGGTGTGAGTGTGCGTTTGTCTGCTCTCATTGCTTGCCAGTTTAGTCACTGTCTCTTCCCATGACCAGATACTGGATAAAGTAGTATAGAAAATGGATTTATGATTATTCTGAACATGTAACTTGAGTAATTAAAAAAGGAAAACAGATACAGAATAGCAGAGAGACCAGGAATGACCTCTCTGGAAGACAAGATGTAACCAATCAACCAACCTTAGAATTAAAACAACCAAGAGAAGTGAAATTTTAAAGCTCAGCAAGGTAACATTTAAGTCACATCACGTAATACAGATACTTAACACCGTCATACCAAGTAAAATGTCATAATTTACTTAAGGAAATGCAGTACTGAGATCTAAGAAAACTAAGTGCATTTGCACCAGCTGTCATGAGGAGATCATTAGCACCTAATGCAAGATAAGTTTTTATGTAAATGCATGATAAGTTTTTATAAAAGGGTTCAAAAGGTTTTACAGAGAAATGATTTGGTTTTAATGTATTTTTTTAATGTTTTGTTACAGGAGGAAATCATTTTTATTCACTACATTGTAAAACAATTTGTAACATTTTTATTTCACCTTTGGATACATATTGAAAATGGTTTATGCTGTGTGACACTTTGATGGGCAGAGACACCATAAATGAGCTGAGAGAGACAGTAATGGACTACAGCTCTGCAACTCCCCTCACCCAGCTGACAGTATGACAGGGGGCAAAGGTCAACCGGGGTGTATAAAACATGTACAGCTCCATAATCTTTTGCTGTCCAAGGGTTATGGTGAGGCCAGGACAGCCAGACAGAGAGCCTGGAAAAAGGTCAGGTTGAAAAGTGAGCTGAAAAGAAGCCTTTGGTCGCCACAAGAGCAGATTGTGTCTGAATGGAAAAGGAAGAAAATCTATATTTGTCAGGGTTAGGAGGCAGGGATCGAATCTCGGAGCAAAAACCAAGACGTCCCTGGTAGTGTACTTTAATGTTTAGTTGGCTCCCAAACAAGACTTAGTTTATATGTACCCCACTGCAATTAAACGAATCCCAGCACAAGGGTTTAAAATTCCTACATTGTGTCAGACTGCTTTTTGTATTCTACAGTACAGAGTCAAAGAGCTCAGTTTTTGTGACCAGCACCATGAGGTTTCATAGTTTAAAACACAAGCACTCACAATAAAGCTATATGCCGTAGAACTCCAGTTCCCTCTCCTAAATTGCAGTGATCAAAATGAAGGTACTGATAGTGAAAGAAAATGATTCATGAAAATATATAGGATCAAGTTAATTAATATTGGAAATGTATACAAAGAAACTGTACAAAGACAATACAACAATTTAAGACTTCTGTGTATTATAAACCCTTTGAGACACACATCTCCTGTGTCACATCTCCTGCGTCCCCTGCTGGCCCCACTAACATCTCTTCCAGCAGCAACCTTAGTTTTTCCCATGAGGTCTCCCATACAGGTACTGACCAGGCTCACACCTGCTTAGCTTCAGTGGGTTGCCAGTTGTGAGTTGCAGGGTGATATGGCTGCTTCCTCATGAGGAAGTCCCACATACAGGACTGCATTCTATTTGCTTTCCTCTTTCACCTTAACAACCAAGTTCCCATGCTCTATTCCCAAGTTCATTAAACATTTTTTTTCCTGGACCCACCAATCATTTAATGGCAATGATGATAGCCTCCCTGTCCATAGTTCCCTTAACTGTCTATTACCATGTTGGGCACTTTTTATTACAACACAAGTTGCTGCATCCCCTGTAAATACACATCAAATGGAAAAAATATATACATAGCCCCTCAGTTCATTTAAATTTAAATGTGTCTGAATTTTTAATTTGGTTAATACACAGAGTACATATAAGATATTAATCTTCAAATTGGGGTGAAGTAATAAGTGAACTTTGACAGGGATCTGTACTGGGACCTCTGTTCTTCCTAATATATCTGAACGCTATATATCTAGTCATGACATTTGTTTTGTCTCACACATTGTAAGCACTTGAACGATGCTAAAACAAATGTCATGACCTCTTATACACAAGCTATGTGATTTGCATGTACCTTTATGGCTTTATGTATGTGATTATAATGTGTTGTGAATCAGTTATGAATGGATCATGAATCCATTATATAGAAACATTCAAATAATGTGTTCCTGAAACTTTAGTGCTGGAAATCTAGTTTGTTTAAACAAAACATTATCAACACAATTTGGCATAAAAAGTGAAGCCTTAATATGTAATAGTGACAAATTACGTTCAAACAAGACATCCTGGCACCTAACTTTGAAGGAAAAGATTAATACTATTTCTGAAACATTTCAAAGTATAAACATTAAGCAAAAGGTTAAAGGAGTAGAGGTACAAAGAACAGGAGAATAAAGACAGGGGTCTGGATATGTTCAAAAAGCCATCAGGAATTCAAGTCCACTATCAATACAGTATGATTACTACATTTCTACAAACCTGAACTTTTCATAGAGAACATACATTTCAGACTGAGAGTGCATCTTTAAAATTATTTTCTAAGAAACAATAATTTCCTTTAATCCACCAAGCAAATTTCCTTTAAAAGTCCATTGCACATGTTTTTATTCTTGGATATTTTAAAAAGCAGACCTGAGAAAGAATGCCTTATTGAAACATAGTGTTTCAACACCAGCCCTACTGAACTCAGTTTGTATTTGGCTTTTAATAACTGTATTTACAACAGTGGCGCTCTCTGTTTGTGAAGGTAATTATATCAATAATCAATTTTAGACTAAGAAAGGGAAGCTCTATTGCTCTGTTTACTAGGAAAGTGGTCTTTCTAGGAAAGTGGAATCTAGCTCTCATTGTAAATAACACTAATTGTAGTCTTCAGCTTGTTAGAATAGCATTAGCATTTTTGATAATTATTTCTTTGTTAAAGTATTAGTTGACAAACAATTGGTACATTATTTGATCACCATAAATTATTTCAAAAATGAAACAAAAATCACATTTGACTTTGTTATTTCTCTTGATAAATGTTAGAAGATTGTAATCATTATAAACTGGCACAGGAAAAATCGACATTAGCCTGATTCTTATCAATGACTGTAATTGTAATTCTAGAAGATTAACAACTGTCCTTTTATGTAACAGTCTGTACAGTAAACATTTACAATTATGTCAGTCAATACTTACTGTGTAATTATACTTGTGCTTCAGGTTCCAACGGCAGATTGGACACTGCCCAGAAGGGTTTGGTGGTTCAGGCTGAGGTTGAGTAGCAACTAACTTTCCTTCTATCTGGAAAACCAAATAATAAGAATACCATTAGATATCAAGCTAGATTTCCATGGTAATATACCCTGAGCTATACATGTACGTTTTTTTCTTTTAAAAAGAAAAATATTTTGTTAAAAATATCAAGACTCTACATGAAATTGTGCAATTAAGTCAAATTAAAATTCAGATTAAAATTAAGGATAAAATACATGTTTGAATACACATGGAAACACAGGAAGAGAAGTGATAATTTTAAAACTAATAACAGTTTTAAATCAAAACGTATTCAGCCCCCTTGGACTTTTTCACAATTTACTGTGAAATTCTATGGATCCTCCTAAAATAATTATAAATATAAAACAGAATATAAGTCATTGCATAAGTATTCACTCCTTTTACTATGACGTATCTAAATAGACACTGATGCAAGCAAATGTCTTTAGAGGTCACATAATTTGTTGAATGCAGTCCACCTGTGTGAAATTAGGGTGTTTCACGTGAGTTCAGGATAAAAGACCAATATCTGTGAGGTCCCACAGTTGATTAGGACAGTTCCAAACAAAAACTGCAACATGAAGACAAAGGAACTTTCAAAGTAAATCTGGGATAAGGTTATTGAAAAGAACCAATCAGGAGAAAGGTATAAGAAAATTTTCAAGGCATTACATATATCCCAACACACAGTAAAGTCCATTATAAAGAAATACAGAAAATGAGCCACAAGACACAACTGTGAAGAACAGGGTGTCTTCAAAAACTGAGTTCCCAGGCAAGAAGCGCACTGTGCCTGTGACAACTCTAAAGGAATTAGTCTTTCATGGATTC